AAGCTGATGGGTTGCGCGGCGAACGGCAAGAAGATGAGCAACAAGGAGCGGTACGTCAGCAAAGGCTTTCTGTATGAGTGCCGAGTCAATCAACAGTCGAACTGTGAGAACTGTCCCGGGGTGTCGTCGGTGTCCCATGACATCGTCGGCTGTGCGACCTTCGATGCCCTAGATAACCCGATCGAACATCCGTTCGGTGCCAGGTGGATTGAGCAGGGCAGTCAGTCACAGTTCAAGTTCACGATGGAGTGTGAGAAAAACGGCTCCGAGGTGAAGAAGCGCGTCGTGCAATGCGGCTTCGAAACGAGCACCGGAGCGGCCAGGTTCATCGACGTCAGGTGCATGCAGAGGATCGGGTCAAAGCTGGTCGCCTGCATCAGTCGACCAGACGGAAGTGTCGAAATTCAGATTCACCCTGTGCCTGTCGACGGCAGCAAAACCATCACGTTGTCCAACCTGGGTCTCAGTTACTGCTGATGATCGACATACATCACCCAGCATGGTCAGGCGGCCAGCCACGATGGCTGTCGCCTTGCTCGTCATCCGGTGTTGTTTCCTACGTCTGTTACTACCGTAAATATTGTTACAATAGAGAACCGTTTTCCGGTAGATGTCTGCCAGGCATGTACATAGCTGGAAAATCAGTGTTCTTACGCGCAATGCTGTTTCACCCTCTTGTTGTCTAATAAATTTAAAAGAACAAGGCGCATCACGTTTTCTGTGCTATCTGTTTCCACTGGCAGAAACTTTTCCTAACGAGCTTTCTGATGAGAACTTCGTACGCGAAAATTATTGACCCAAAACTAAAGGGCATATAAAATTTTTCATAATCACTCCATACATAATTATTCATAAAGGCCCAAAATGAGATGAGATTTATAATATGATTTGCAGGATTCAGTTGGGATCCGGTGTTGGACTGTAATTAATTTGCCGATACTAATTTATTGGGGATACCAAAAAAATCGGTGATAAACTTTATATAACGAGGCTTCGCTTTAACCATTAAAGTATGATATTTAAATTGGCATTTTTGTATTGATGAAATTCAGTATTCCAAATTTTAACCGAAGTGTCCTGTGGTTCTCTTTCAAAAGACTCAGAAGGCTCAGTCTTGCACGGTGCTTATTATGAACTTCACGACCGGTGTTGTTAAGT